AGGGAAAAGAGCTGATTAGTTTTGGCGAAGGCAGGTCCAGCCGTTTCGGAGATACGGAGCAAGATAGTGCAGAAAATAGAAATCGAATTTTTGAGAGAACGGAGTATCTGATTTGAATGATCTAAAAAGCATTCAATTAGTAATGATTGGGAGAAGTGCTTATTAGTTTTTGGCAAAGGCAGGCCCAGCCATTTCGAAGATATGGAGCTAAATATGTAAAAAATGGCAGTTTTTGAGAGAACTAAGCGTCCGATTTAAATGATTCAAAGAACTTTCTGCTTGTCTTAACAAAATAATTGATTTTGGAAAAAAAAATTTTGTTCAATTTTTTTTTTTTTTTTTTTTTTTTTTTTTTTTTTTTAGTTTTATCAAAATATTTCAGATTTTATTTTTAATTCTGGCTATAGTTCTAATATACTTACAAATATTTTCAACTCTGCAATTCAGTTTATATAATTCTCATAAATATTAGACAATGTTACAATATTTATAATAATCTATTTGAAAACATTCAGTATTCCTCGAACATTTCGGTACGGGAAGTTCCAGCAATTTGCCTTAAGGCACGATGCCATAAATGCCTCAAGACAGAATTCCACTTACAGCTAGTTTAAATTTATATTATTATTTATCATTATTACCAGATGTTAATTATTTAACAGATGCAATGAATATTGTAATTAAAAAAAATCATTACCGAGTGTTTATTTTATAACACTTTTATAACAAAATCAATAAGCGATGAACATGAATTGATTCTAATTTCAAACAATTAATAAGTGTATAATTTTTTTTGTTTTCAAAGTTTCTGAAGATAGAGACATCCTACAGCCTCAAAACTCGGAAATAATAAAATAAATAGAAAATTAATTATAAATGAAATGATTATAAATAAAAAACAATTTTGAGAAGAAGAGAAGACTAGTTCAGGGTCCACCAAATAACTTTTTTTCCAAATAACAAAAACTACTAAATATTTTCACAAATTACTTTTCTTATTCGAAAGTCCTTATATTCCGTGCGGTTAAAATAATAAAAAATAAATTGATTGAAGAAAAACGCTAGATGGCCCTAAATATATAAAATGTAATCTCGAATGTATTGCCATCTAACGACAGAGTTCAAAGCTATGCGGTTGTTGTATGAAGTAGAAGCAAGACTCTTGTGGCGCCATCTCCACAAGTGTTAACTAAGCGTATCCAAGTTCTGAACTTCTGAATTGTAGTGGCAGATGGCGAAAGTAGTCGTCAGAACAAATATATGTATAATATATATATATATATATATAATATATATATATTTTAAGTTTCCGTAGAAACATGCACCTATTAAAAAAACTAAGTTAAGTTCCAAAATATTTTAATATACGATTAGAATCCCAGTTGAAGATACTTTAAATTTTAATATTTATATGCAACAGATAAAATAATATAAAAAATTAAATTTTTATAAATATTTAATATTTAATAATCTTGTGACTATAAATATCTTTAAAAAATATTCATTAAAGTGAATTCGTTTTATCCAGTTTTGTTTCTATGGATGTGGTTTGTGGATAACATACTTTATCGTTTTAGCCAGAAACAGTAGTAATCAAAATTAACAATAATTACTAATTAGTAAGAATGTTATTAATATATATTTTTAATCTCCCAAACAGATTAATGCAGATTTCTTAGTACTCACATAAAGCGTGTATACATGTACAAAATCATATTTAACGATCATAATTTTGAAATAGACAAATGAATAAAATATATTATATAATGTATTAAGGAATTATATTGTGGTAACACAAGTTGGCTAGGCAGTAAAAAATGGGGAGTGATGTGGCAACACAAGTTGACCATGATTGAGGAATTAGCTAAGCAGTATAAAGACAAAATAAAATACGTGTCATGACATTTTTGAATTTGTAAAACGATCAGAAATTTTAATACAGTTTTACTTTTCTAATATGTTTATTTTTGAAATATTCTTTACAAATATTAGTAACATGTGTCAACTATCTTGTTGGTATCATCCTATTGAAAACCCTAAAGACATCCGTTCAAAAGACCCCGAAAAACAGTTTTTTTGTAGTGTTACTAACTATATTAAATTGCAAATCATTCTAAAAGATATATATATATATATATATATATATATATATATATATATTCACAATATATCGTTTTGAATGATTAAGTGATTTGTTTGTCCCTACCGAAGTAACATGCCCTACATTTGTCTGAAATTTTGTATTGAATAAGCTTTGTCATGTTTTTGTACCCATCGTTAGTAAATGTATTTATAAATTTTTGTATATATATATATATATATATATATATATATATATATATAAATTTACTTACATCTCTGTTTAAAATAAATGTACAAAGTTGTGAAAAAAATTAGGGAGTATATAAAATAAAATAGAAGAAATTGTTAAAAATGTATAAACATATTCATTCAAATGTTCAAATCGGTTGATCCCTGTTCCTGAAATCGCCGATAAAAATTTATATCCGCGAAAACACACACACACGCACACACATACATACATACACACACACATATATACATATATTTAAAAAATGAGTATAACGACAAGGTAAGAAACAATATTCTACTGTGGTAGAAGAAAACCCGGAAATGTATTTTAAAAATTATTACTATTCCTGCCCTGTTTATTATATTCATGAGATTTCTCTTTCAGTGTTAAAATTAAAATAAAAATCGATTTGCCACAGTTTCTGTCGGAGTCCGAGAAAAAATTCTGCACGGTCGCCAACTAATGTTGATTAATGAATCCGACACTGAGGTGTAAATTCAAACATAAAATAAAATAGAATAGTATAAATAATATTTTGAATTAAAATAAACATAAGTCATTTTGATCAAAAAGTCTTAAAAAATACGAATAAAAAAAACTCCTAATTTGTCAAAAACTAAGTACATAACTGTTAAATTCATTATAATTACCATTTTCTCGCAAACTATTACTTCACCGATTCTTATCTAAGTACCTGTCAACGACTTATGCGTCCCAGGCCGAACCGGTAGCCCAATCTTTTCTCTAACCTCGAACGACGCGTCGATCCGGGTTGCGAGCATTTTTAGCCTACCGGTTTGCCGCCTGAGACACTAATTAACGCAACGCTTATCTTCGAGTTAATTAATGTGTGGGAACTTACTTGCTGTTACTTGAGATATTAATAAAGATATAGAGAAGATATTAATAAAAATTATAAAGCGAATGAAAGATAAACATTATGCGTTTTCGATATCGAATTAGAAGAATTGATAGTTTTTATCTGAAGCCATATGGTGTAGGAGACAATATGGTCACTGGATAAGAAATAACGAATTTGTAAGTGACCGTTGGTTTGTAATGGATTTTTTTATTGGTTTATTGATAGATTAAAGGTTTTGCTAACAAAATTTTTATATATTGGTCGAAAAAGTACTTCAAGTAAGTTTTTGGTTATATATCAGCTCAGGAGACCATATGGTGGTCGCAGGATAAGAAATAACGAATTTTTAAGTGACCGTTGGCTTTTAATGGATTTTTATTGGTTTATTGATAGATTAAAGATTTTGCCATCGAATTTTTGAACATTGTTCTAAAAACTACTTGCACTAAGTTTTTGGAAGATTTTACATATCACTTCAAGAGACAATATGGTCCCAAGATAAAAAATAACGAATTTGTAAGTGACCGTTGGTTTTTAATGGATTTTTTTATTGGTTTATTGATAGATTAAAGGTTTTGCTAACAAAATTTTTATATATTGATCCAAAAACTACTTCAAGTAAGTTTTTGGTGGAATGTCTCTAATTTAATACATCAGCTCCTGGCGTTAGTTGATGTGCAATAAATATATTTAGATATCTAGAAAATATTAAAAAATACTAGAGATAATTTTAAAAAAGATACCAAAATATACTTAATACTTTGGCACTGTCAAATAGATTTATATTAGTAATAAATTAATTTCAGTGATAATTTGACCTATAAATCCACATATTAGACAAAAAATTGGTATCTCCCAAAATATATCCAAAACGAAATTTCGCTTTCAATTAAATCTTACTAATGCGATTTCCAATTGAATTTTCTCAAATTTTCTGTAATTATAATAATTATATTGCACAAACACTTGCTTGTATGTCCTAAAATTGTAGTTTATTATTCCAAACTTTAATGAATTAACAATGCTTGACTTATCACATCACAAATGCACTTTAGACACAAATTTTAATTATAATATTTCTTCAAAGTTTGATGAATTTTTAAAACTAAACTACTTGTCGTAGGGTCGTAATATTTCAGTATGCTCTATAAGACCATGATATCTATCGTGAAAAATAGTTTCATAAAAATCGGCACAATTTTTTTTAACAGTTAATTGCAAGAAAACTAATCAGTATCGTTCCCAACCAATATCTTTCAAACAGTTTTTGATTTTTTAAAATCGATTCAGTATTGTGAACTAAAACGTGGACAAAAAGTTATATACTTTTTTGCAAATTACAAAGAAATGGCTCAGCCGATCGTTGCAAAAAACTGAGAAACGATAGTCCTCATTCTTTCAATTTTTGAAATGGGTGCAGGCGTTTTCGAAGAAACGTCGATTTAATGTAAAAAATCTATTCACACACACACACATACTTTTTCCAAATTCGGTCTCATTCGAATCAGAATGGCTTGAAACGCCGAGAAAACATAAAATTAGCGAATCGGATTTTTTGATGAAAACACAAACTTCTCCTTTGCGAAGTTGAAAATATGTTCAACATTTTAAGAAATGTTAAAAATAATGCCATTGAATATATCGACGTCTTCTTCATACTTTAGATTTAGAATCAAATTTTTACTTAGTTGATCGTTCAGAAATTAAAATTATATACGTCGAAGAAAAATTTGATACTGTTCAGGCGTTTTTGATTTAGGTGGTCGAAAGAGAATAGCAAATAATATTCAGAGAACATTTTCAAAAATATATTTCTAATCTGACCTGTGAGAAGTAAGGAGGCAAAGAACATCTCTGGTCGTCAATTCTGGAACTCTGAACGCGTTCCAAAAGTTCGAACAGGTCCTGAGTTGCTCCTCTCAATCTCTCAGGTGCACCATTTGCTGAAATAAATAAAATAAAAGTTAGATATAATTGATTTTTTTTGGAATTGATAAACTTGTAACATATATATATATATATATATATATATATATATATATATATATATATATAGATTACTCTTTGTAAATTGGTGAAAAGGCTAACAAGAAAGAGGAAAATTAGAAAACTTTGTTGGATATGATTACTGCACAAGATGGGAAGTTAATTCGACAAAAATTAGTAAAAGCCATTAAAAACACCATCAAAGTAGAAATCAGATAATGGACGACTTTCCCAAAAATAGCAATGAATTAAAACCTGATCATTAAAATGAAAGGAAAAATTGGTAAAATGTGATAGACCTTGTCTTCAGTCTTAACCAATCATCTAACAATAAGACCAAATATGGAAATTTAATAAATTATTACCTTGTGGACTAGGTGTATTTCCATTGGTCAACCTTTCCCTGCCATTTGGTGTATTCGTAATTCGTTCCGGAGACACAGGGTTTTGTGCCCCTGCATTTGCACCATGTTGAGACGTCCAGCCAATGTGTTGACGTCTGAAAAAAATAGAAAAATTTAGAAATAATAAATATTTAATTATTACATAATTTCAAAAAACTGAGAAACTAAATTAACGCATACGTTTCGATCTAAGTTGAGAAAGTCAGTGAGAGAACTACAAGTTGGCATTAAATTGTGTGCAATATTTGGTGTTCCATTTGTTATATATATATATATATATATATATATATATATACTTTGGCAGGTTGTTAATATTTCTTGTCAGCTAGACAAGTCAAGAAATTTTAACGAGCCGACAAACAAGGCAAGGACCACACCTGAATGCATATTTTGCATTTTGCAATTGTCACATACTCATAGTAAATATACACATACTAATTTATATATATATATATATATATATATATATATATATATATTATATATATATAAGAAATTCAGGCGTACAACTTTCGTTACACAAATAAATTGTTGATAGATATTTCATATTGGCAGAATGTAAACTTAATTTATTTAGCAAGAGGTTACATTTTTTTACAAATAATTATGATGTGACTTCCCGAGAGAAAAGTTTTCATAAAAAAATTCGATTCGCTAATTTTATGTTTTCTCGACGTTTTAAGCCATTCAGAATCGAATGAGACCAAATTTCGTGTATGTATGTATGTAACCAATGTGTATGTATGTGAACAATTTTTTATACATTAAATCGAGGTTTTCTCAAAAATTGGCTGGACCGATTTCATCGGTAATAATAATGTCACTTGATATTATATTTAAAATCTGATATCTAACTGGAAAATTAGAAATCGAAACTAGTAAATTTTTTTTCAAAATATTGCTTTATATTGCAAAATATTTTACCAAAGTGGCCTATATACATTTGTGTACTTAGGGTGAAAACTTTAATTTTACGGTAAACGTATAAATCACTCGCAATTTCATTCTTTGTCAAAATTTTCGGTTTTGCCAAGCAAAATTTTGAAAAGGGTTAAAAACGTATTTTATGGGGTTACCAGTTATTGTGTAAACAGAAGGGGTAGTAAATATACACTTATACAAATACATACATATGTATGCGTGTATGTATTTTTATGTATATGTATTTAAAAAAAGGCATTAGCATATCTAATTGATATATTTTCATAGGTATCGATTTGTGTGAGAAAATTTATAGGTTTGTATGTTTAAAAATTAAATTTTTCAAGCGTGACGGTAAAATGTATATAAAGTTCCCTATATATATATATATATATATATATATTACCACGTTTAGATAGAGCGCAATTAAAACAAAGTTTTATATGGAAATAGCATGGAAAAAATTTCAAAAATTTGAAAAATGTTTTTTAGATGAAATTTAGCGAACCAATGAATAAATAAAACCCATTCATTTGTCGCTAAGTTATACTTAAAACCTTTTTTTTTTATTTTCAAAATTTTTTCCATGCTCTTTCCATACAAACTTTGATTGAATTGCGCTCTATCTAAACGTTAATATTAAGAGCTAAAATTTTCAGAGAATTGTTTTTTATCTATTTGGAACCATTTGAGCTCCTGGGAGCAAAGAAATTCGAAAATGACCATTTTAAGGACCACCCTAATATATATACTAGTTGTAAGTCGCATTTGGCCCAACGGCAAGTTGTATGAACTTTCCGATATGTGTAAATAATCAACAGAATCAATAAAAATTGAGTTTTAGAAACTTTTCAAATTGTCACAACTGACACTTTCCATGTTCCTATAATATTTAAGTATGCTCGTTAGGATGTTAAACCTTATATTATCATTATACAAAATTTTATCAAAATTGCCAAAAACAAATTTTCAACAATTAACTTCTAAAAAAATGATAAAAAGTCGATTTTCACTAAACATCAATCAGCCCGATTTCCAACTGATATCTTTCGAAGAGTTCTTGAATTTTCAAAAATCGGTTCACGATTTTTTGTGAATAGTGACTGAAAAAAAATTCTATTATATATTATATATTTTAAAATTTAATACGGGAGTCTTAATCGAGTTTCCAAAATTTTGCAAATAAGTTTTGAAGAAAACATCGACAAAATGTAAAATTTTTACTCAAAAATAATTTGAAAGATCAGCGAATTTTGTGAAAAACAAACTTCACTTTCAGCAAGTTAAAAAATAAAAATAGTTCCATTAAATATAAAACATCACCAGAAAAACAATATTTTATATTTATATTTTTTTATTTTTTCTATGACGATTCAACCCGTCACAGGAAAACCCGTCATGACAAAATATTCGTTTAATGGTGTGAATTTTTCCTTCGGGGTATAAGTTTAAACGACCACGACACATAGTTGACCTAT